CTCTGACGAAACATGCTGTCAATGGCTCGCTAATTGTCAAACCCAGAACGCCTGGATGCTGAGGGAGGAACGCAGCGATTCCCCAGATTGCCCGCATGCCGATGATCGGTGTTAGTAAGCTACGTCACGTGGTCGATGGCGTGATTGCTTTCACTGCCTTTACTGGAGATTCCATGATGGAGCTGACAGTGGCAGCTTTATTGTATAGTGTTTTTGTGTTGATACCCGTGAAAAGCATAATGTTAAACTACATCTTGTGCATTTTCAGTGTAATGACATCACGCTCAGTGTGAACTGCATGTTTCTCGTACAGCCCAGTAATCTTCTGTAGATTGAACCACGTGCAGCCCTAGCCCTTATCAGCCTTCCCGTTTGGGCTGTTTGTTTATCCAGCCCCGTGACAGCCTCCGCAATGTTTGGATCGGAACAGCATCAGTCTTTCTCCTGAACACATCGAACTCTTGCACACGCCAGACACGCTTTGGACGGACGACGCGTTAAGATCTATCGATGCAACTGATTTAGGATGATTCATGACAACTATTGACTCCCGACCCCTTACTGAACTGTCTGAGACGAGACATCTACCCCGCCATTGAGCCACCATGCCTGGCCGATCCGCCCGTTCAACATCCACCGCCACGCGCAAGACCTCCGCTCAGCCCTCGCGCGCAGGCTCAGTGACCCCGTCTTTCACTATCCCCGAGGAGCCTTCTCTTCCAGAGGCCATTCCCACTTTGCGCCGCGATGTATGCTCCCTTTTCGCCGATGCGCAGCGCTCGACAACCGGACATCGGAAACTCGTCGTCCGACTGAGGAAGCTCCAAGAAGCTTGCTGCGGCATATCCCAGAAGAGCTCCAAGAAGGATGGCAGCAAGTCCCAGGCAGAGTGGACGCTTCCTATGGAAGAGACTCTGCCCGAGACGGAGTTCAACACGGAGGTCGGCCGTTGCGTTCTGCGCATTCTCCCTATCAAGAAATCAGAGCCGGTCGGAGACCGCATTCTACGCTTTCTCGGCGCATTCCTGGCATTGGCTTCCGAGAAGGACGCAGAGCTATATGCTGCGGATGACGACGATGAAGATATGCAAAACTCGCCTGAAACGCCCACTTCCCGCTTGACTACCAGTCTGATCAACATAATCGTTCCCTTACTAGCAACCAAAGACAAGACAGTCCGCTTTCGCGCCACCCAAATCATCGCCCACATTGTAAACTCCCTCGAAACGATAGACGATGACCAATACCACGCCATTCGCGGCGGGCTTGTGAAGCGTATTAGAGACAAAGAGCCTGCCGTAAGAGTGCAGGCTGTTATGGGACTTGGCCGTCTCGCAGGCAACGACGACGAAGATGACGATGACAGCAAGGCTGTGCTCGAGCGACTCATCGATATTATGCAGAATGATACCAGTGCCGATGTACGAAAGACCCTCCTTATAAACCTCCCTCTGGTGCCGGGCACCCTGAAATATCTCCTGGAACGAGCCCGCGATCTCGATGCCGCCACTCGACGTGCCTTGTACTCGCGTCTTCTTCCCACCCTTGGTGACTTCCGGCATTTGTCGCTGTCTATGCGAGAGAAGCTTCTTCGATGGGGTCTCCGTGACCGTGATGAGAGCGTTCGCAAAGCCACGGGTAAATTGTTCTACGACCGCTGGGTTGAAGACTGTGCTGGCACCAATAACGACCCCGAAGCCGGACCTACAGGCCAACGCTCCCCGCCGAACTTCAACGGGCTGCTTGAGCTCCTCGAAAGAATTGATGTTGTCAACTCCGGAGTAGAGTCTGGAATTGCACATGAAGCCATGCGTAGCTTCTGGGAAGGTCGCCCGGATTATCGGGAGGCGGTTGTTTTCGACGAGCCTTTCTGGGAGAACCTTACCGCAGAATCGGCCTTCATGATTCGGTCTTTCAGCGACTTCTGCCGCGTTGAGAATGAAGGGAAGTACGACAAGCTTGCAGACGAGAAGATGCCCGAAGTCACAGCCCTTGCGTTTTACCTACACAAGTACATGACCGACCTGTTGCAGCGGAAGAAGATCGCCAAAGAGACCGGTGATGCCAATGATGACGATTCCGTGGAGCAAGAATTTATCGTGGAACAGTTGCTGCATATCTCCATGGCTCTGGACTACAGTGATGAAGTTGGACGGCGCAAGATGTTCTCCCTACTGCGTGAGTCGCTTGCCGTACCGGAACTCCCTCAGGAGTGCACCAAGCTTGCTGTCGAGACCCTGCGATGTGTTTGCGGCCCCAACGCTGCTGCTGAAAAGGAATTCTGTAGCGTTGTTCTGGAAGCCATTGCTGAAGTCCACGACACTATTGTGACTGAGGACAGCTTCGTGTCTGCAAGGTCAGAAATCAGCGATGCCAGCTCCACCCGCCACCGATCCGAGACCCCTCAGTCCGAAGAAGAGAAGCCTTTCAACAAAGAGGAGGCTAAAGCGAAGGTACTGAAGGAGATCATGGTCAACATGAAATGTCTGTATATTGCGCAGTGCATGTTGCAGAATGTCGAGGGCAACCTCCAGGCCAACATGAACTTGGTGACTATGCTTAACAACCTCGTCGTGCCTGCCGTTCGAAGTCACGAGGCCCCTATCCGTGAGAGGGGTCTTGAGTGTCTGGGTCTTTGCTGTCTACTCGATAAGGTAGGAACTATTCTATGAAGTGCTTACAACGGTCTACTAACGATTCTACAGACTCTGGCTGAGGAAAACATGACTCTCTTCATCCACTGCTTCAGCAAGGGCCACGAGGCTTTGCAGGTGACTGCCATCCACATCTTGTGTGATATGCTGACAACGCATCCCACGTTGCTTGTGCCTGTGGAACAAGATGACGGCGAGACCGTGGCGCCGCCAGTTTTCCAGAAGCCATTGTTGAAGGTCTTTGCTCGGTCGCTGAAGTCCAGCTCGCCTAACAGCGTGCAAACAGCTGCCGCTACAGCGCTCTCCAAATTGTTGCTCACGAACACGTTCACACCAGCGGGCGCGAACATCCCCCCGGCCATTCAGGAATATAACCAAACTTCTGTCGAGACTCTCCTGCAGTCACTTATCCTTTCCTTCTTCCATCCTCGTACTCGGGACAACCCTGCGCTGAGACAGGCCTTGGCCTACTTCTTCCCCGTGTATTGCCATTCACGACTGGAAAACACCCAGCACATGCGAAAGGTCGCGGTTCCCGTGATCCGGGCCACGCTGAATGCCGCCGAAGAGTATTACTCGCTCGAGGCTGAGGAAGACAGTGACGGTGACATTGATGAGTCGGTGGGCCAGCGGGAGCTGAAGGCATTGATGACCGGCGTTGTGGGTATGCTGGCTGAGTGGACTGATGAGCGGCGGGTTGTCGGACTGGGCGGGGAGAGGATTCTTGCGGGTGGTCCGGCCAACGCCAATGCTTGTGGTTTTGTTCACCTCGCCCTGGTTAAGGATATCCTCGAGCGGGTGCTGGGAATCAGCACCGGCACCAACCGTTGCTCCAAGGAAGAGAAGAAGCTGCTCTTCTCCCTTATGAGCAAGCTCTATATCGCTCCTCCGGTCGTTCCCTCGCGGTCCGGGTCCCGGGCTCCTGAAGGCGAGGATCCGTTCAGTTCCAGCGTTCGCAGTGCGCAGGCGGAAATCACGCCGGAGAATAAGGAACTGGCGCAGGAGGTGAAGGAGCTGCTGGATGAGGCGATCGAGGAAGGCGTGGCCGCCGAGGCCGCCGGGCGGAACGCGCTCGTCAAGGTCAAGAACGCGGTCCTCAAGCTTCTGGCCGCGGCTCATGGGGGACGCCAGACCAGCGGGCGAGCCCGCGAAGGCATGGAAGAAGGCGATAGCGATGTTATGAGCGTGCGGTCGAACATGAGCGTGCGGTCTGGTAGTGTGCGGCCATCCATTGAGCCCGGGACCATGCGGCGGGGCTTCTCACTGGAGCCAAGTATCATCGAAGAAGAGGATGAGAACGACGATAGCCGGACCACGATTGTGAAGTCGGAAGGTCAGGATGACGAGTGAATCCGTAGATAGTTGGACATGGGATTGGGAAAGGCGTTTGAGGAAGGTTCACCCGGTGCGTTGGGATGGATTGGCTTGACATGGGACGGGCCGTGTAGTTAGGTGTTTGGTTACGAGTGTACATGATGTTTCTAGTTGGTTGACACTTAATTTCATGATGATATTTGCTACGTATGGTTGGTGGGCTATGCCGGTACATAGGCGGAGATTGTACGGGCAACGTCAGCCTGGCCCATGGCTGGCTTAGTACTTGTGACTGGGGGGGAAAGGAAATCGTGTGATCTGGAACGTGGACGAGGCGGTAGCTTACTGGAGCGGCGCTAGTGGCAGTTTTAGACCGGGATGAGGTGGAATTAGTACTGTCATGGCCTGATATGGATGGCGCGTGGTGATAAGTCCGTCGGGGTTTGGGGAGTAAGCCTGGTCTATCGGTCGAGAATATACTGTCTTCCTTAATGAATTAATACAGAGTAGCACCGTCTTCGCAATTAATTGGTTACTTTGTATATAACCTGTTAATAAATTGCAAGGCACATCAAACAATGAAAACTATCCCTTCAATTCATTTCTTGAAGTTACTCCGTATTTGTTGGTAAGTAATAACTAATTCAGACAGAACCCAATCACGGAATCCCTCGCCCAGCGACTTTCAATCTTTCGGATGCGAAGTCTGGCGGATAGTGGGCCCTTCCACTTCCTCTCATTGGCCATCGCCCACAGGCACCTCCACGGAAACACTCGAGTTTTCTCCTCTCACATTTTTTTTTCTCTCTCTCTTTTTTACCTTATGCTTTGGTTGTGGAACAGATCGAATAAATCCATTCAATTGACTTTGCCTTGACATTCCATCCTTTTCATTGCCCCCCCTCCTTCTCCTTCCCACCCCCAAACCTGGCACGGCCATATTAGTATCTGGGCACGCACAGAGCAACTTGGATAGTAGTAGATAGTTACTAGTAGTTTGTTAGACATGTAGACTACGTGAAGTTAGTAGGTACTTTGTACTTACTGTTATTGCCACGATACTTTACTAGTACTTCCTCTTCATGTCGTCAGCAACAACATTATCATCATCATTAACTTGTTTCTTGCTTGACCTTTGCTGCCTGGAGGGGAAAATATATCCAGGGTTTAAGGTTAATGGGAATGGATCAGCCTTTTGGGGGGAATCGAGCTTTCCCTTTTGGCGGCGGGCGTCGGGTCGGAGATACCGTCAAGAAACAAAAAAGTACGGGTTTCACTCGGGACATTCCATTCCACACACACACACTCTCTCTATTCTGTGTCTGTCATTGTGATTCGACCATTACTATTTATATGTAGTTGTTCCATGAAGGGAGGAGGAGAAGGAGAGAGAGCCTGGGGGATGATCCGACATTCCAGAGACACGATTCAATGGGGGTGTGAGATGTTTTATCATTGGCTCTGGGGGGTTCACGGTGATCGGGATGGTTCGTTGATTTGACAGGTGATTATCGTAGTCAGTAATATTAATAAATATTTAGACTGTTCCGTCGTGTTCAATGTGTTGGTAAAATATGGCGAATGTCGGATGTGTGTGTATGTAAGTATGTGTGTGTCTTATGTGTGTCAGTTAACCAACTTGAATCAATGATTCTTTGCAGCGGTGTCATGGTTGGTTGTATTCTGACCAGACCGACAGATACAGATACAGATACAGATAGACACCTTGGGGGAGAAGGGAAAGAATAAATAGTAGCAATGACTGATTATACCGCTGGGGAGACAACTGAGAGAGGCTGTTGTACCAGACCTGTCATACAATACGGTAAACGGTCAGTCGTGGGATGTATCGAGTTAGTAGTAAGTAGTGTATCCTCTTTCTCTCTCCCCCGTGGAAATTCTCAGGAGAGGAAACCAAATAGTAAAATCTATTCGATTGTTCCGAATTCCCACCACCGAAAAAAAAAAAGGCTGTGAAGTTCGGACTTTGTGTAGTAGATCTGGAAAGGAATTGATTCCAATCCTTTCTTTAATTCTCATATATAATCAATCACTAAACCAGTCGGCGTTGACCCGTAGACGCCGTCCAGTTGGGCCAGGATCCCCTCGAAGCCGAAACTTTTCTTTTAATCTCGACGCTCCACCACCAGAAAAGCGAACTTGTCCTGCTTTCCCATCCTGGCCTGGGGACTTTCTTTTTCCTTCCTTCCCTTCTTCCCTTTCGATCTTCTGCTTTCTCCTCCTCCTTCTCCTCCTCCTCCCCCTCCTCCGTTCTCTCCTCTTTCTTCCTCTTTCCCTTTCCCCCCCGTGATCTTTTTTCTTTTCTTCTCTTCACGGCGGTCTTTTACCCCCCTCCTTCTCCCTCCCGGTCGTGAACCCCGTGTCGCCTGCTGTGCCTGCAGAGACACGTTTTTTTTCCTTTCTCCGACCCGTCCCTTTCCCTCCCTCCTCCCTCCCTCCCTCCTCCACCCTCGCCTGCCCGCTCCGTTGGCCGTGAGATTCAGCCAACGTCTAGACAACAACCGTGAGCGATGGCCGTTTCAGCACCCACCCCCAAGCTGGATCGCTACATTGTTATCCACGTTGCGACCACCTGCGACGAACATGGAGTCTACGTCACTAAAGACTCTGCTGAAGTGATTGAGTTGGGGTGGATCTTGTTGGATACCAAAACCTGCGAGGAGGTACGTCGGCTTAAGTATTTTATTATCTCTCGTTCATCCATTCATTGCCCCAGCCTTTTCCCCCCTCCTCCTTGACGAATTCCCCCCCTCTCGGATGCTTATCTGCCGTGCTTCCTTCATCAACCGAGACCACTCATACCCCCCATCAAGAGAATCCTCCATGATGTACTATTTGCTGACACTGTTTCCTTCCTCGGCTTAGTTGCACCATGAGAGCGTTCTTGTCAAGCCCGTCAACACCCCCATCACGCCTCTTTGCAGTAAGTGCACCCCGTTCGAACGCAGCCTACCCAATCACCCAACAATGCCTTCCTCTCCTTCTCTCGTACCTCACTCCGTCCCTCCGCATCCATCCGTCCCTTGGTTCAATGGCTGACGGTCTTTGAAAGCGAGCTTGACGACTCTGACATGGGAACACGTCCGCTCGGCAGGCACCTTCCGCGACGCCATCAACCGCTTCGACGCTTTCGCCCAGGAACACCTCATCAGCAAGAACCTGGAATTCGCCTTCGTGACGTTGGATTCATGGGATCTTCGTGTGCAGCTGCCCCGTGAGGCTCGGGACAAGGCAGTCGTGCTTCCGGCATACCTTCAGCACTCCCGGACATTCGACCTCCGCACCGAATACCAGCGATGGCAGACTCATCACCCCGAGTCTCTGCCCTTCGGCCCCAGCTCTCTCTCCAACATCTGCGCCGCCCTCGAGGTTGAGCCCGTTCAGTCTTCCGCTCCCATCAAGCACAACCTTCCCTTCCACCTGCAGGCCTTGGCTCCCGCCTCTCCCCGTCGCGCCATGGAGGAGGCTATCACCTTGGCCAGAGTGCTGCGCGGCTTGATCCGGAAGTCTCAGCCCCCACATGAGCACCCCGAGATCCTCACCCGCCCCATGGATGCCAGAGCGGACGTTCGTGCCTTCCTGGCCGAGCGCAGCAAGGTTCTTCATCTGAGCGGACTCCCCCACGACACCACCCAGTCCGAGCTGGAGAGCTGGTTCACTCAGTTTGGCGGTCGTCCGATCGCATTCTGGACCCTCCGCACTCCGGATCAGCACAAGCCTACCGGCACCGGCTTTGCGGTCTTCTCGTCCCACGAAGAGGTATGAACTGGCTTACTATCTTTCACTATCCTCAGACCTTAGATCAGATATCTAATTTGTTTCCACACAGGCTGCCGAGAGCCTTTGCATGAACGGCCGTGCTCTGAACGAAAAGGCCATCGAGGTGTCTCCTTCCTCCAGCCGTGTCCTGGACCGTGCCGCGGAGATCCTGACGCCTTTCCCTCCCTCCAAGAACCGCCCTCGTCCTGGCGACTGGACTTGCCCCTCATGTGGATTCTCGAACTTCCAGCGCCGTACTGCATGCTTCCGCTGCTCGTTCCCGGCTATGGCCGCTGCCCCCGATCCGATGGGATACGGCTACGGCTACGGCCCCCCGTCCATGATGCCTCCTCACATGGGCCACGGCCACGGAATGGGCCATTCCCGCGGCATGGGCGGCAACGGCGGTGTGGTGCCTTTCCGTGCTGGTGACTGGAAGTGTGGCTCCGAGGGCTGCGGTTACCACAACTTCGCTAAGAACATCAATTGCCTGCGTTGCGGTGCTCCTCGGTCTGGAGCAGCAGTGGTGGCCGACTCCGCTTTCCCGTCCCCGATGGATCCTCCCTCGAGCTTTGGCATGGGCCCGAACTCCATGACCAGCACCCCGGCTCCTGGTCCCTTCGCGGCTAGCACTGGTAGCTTTGGCGGCTTTGGTCAACAGTTTGCCGCGCCCCCCAACAACTATGCTGCCTTGCCTTCGGGCTTGGGAAGCGCCCCGGCCGCATACCCACCTATGGGTCAGATGAACGCTGGTTATGGCTCCGCGAATGCTTCCCATTCCGCGGCCTCGTTCGCCAACCCGGCCGCCCAGGCTGCCTTCACGGGGGCTGATCACAACTCGTCGACCAGTGCGTCCAACGGTGCCTTCTACGGCAATGATGGCTCGAGCGATCCGTTTGCCTTCCTCTCGACGGGCTTGGGAGGTTTGACTGTGGGTGAAGATGCCCACTCTCGTCGCAACGGCGCCAGTGCGAACAAGTCCCCCGCGTAAAAAGTTATGAAACAGCAATGTTGTTTCAGCCGGGGACATTAGAGATTTGCTTTTCTACGACGGTTCTCCCTCACGGTTTTTTGTCCATATGGTGGTCTGGATATGTTGGTATATGTGACGGTTGGTATTCCGTTGATGCGCATTTGTATAAGGAATTCTGCAGTTCTGGTGCATTAGGTTGGGAGGAGCAGGCCGGTAGCGTGTCGTCGTTTCGTCCGATTTGGTCCTTTCTGTTTTTGCCTGGTCTCGCAGATTTGACGTCAGACCATTTTCGGTATGTCTTACTATTGTGTCTTTGCAAGCGATGTTTGAGGGTATAGAAGAAGACCGCCCGGGCAGGTGGGCCCAGGCGGTCCTATGCGCTTCTTCACCACCTGCTGGATCATCGTTTCGTGTTTGTTGTTGGTTCTCATTTCTTTTTTCTTTCCTTCTTGGAGCGGCATGGGCTTCGCGCATTTCTCTCGTCATGGGCGCATACTTCCTCCGGCGGAGGGGAGGAACTCCTGTCCGGCTAGCCGCGGCGCTGGCGAGGAAGGGCTCGAGCATGGCATTGCATTCTAGATATTGTCTTTTTTTTTTTTTTTTTTTTCTTTTTCTTTTTCTTTTCCTCTTTTTCCTTTTTTTATTTGTTGGCTTTCCGAGTTCATCTGCGCGCTTCGACAATAGGGATCATTGGAGAATCACGGTATTGATCATGGTTGGGATACAATGGAACGGACTCTGTTGGGGGTGTTGGGGTATTCCTTTTGAGCCAGCAAAATTTCAACCAGCTACGACGGATTTGGGACATCTGCGAGGCACATGGATTGGGAGTCGTGCGTGCGACAAGATTGTTCTGAGTGTCCATAATTCTTGTACTGTTCTTCATATTACTTATACTGTTCTCGTCTTGTGTTTACATATGCTTTCCCTGCGGGTTTTGTCGTTCCCTCCTTCAAAAGTCGAGACGTGATTATTGGTTTAACTAGCCCGATGCCTGCATTCTCTCGTATCGCCTTTCAGCGTGTGATGTACAGCATGGTCCGATCTCAGCTAGGCAGGGAGTCATGGGCGATTGGGGTGTAGATCAACTATATGAGAATTCTCTTTTCATCGAGCCTGTTGATATTTATGCATTGGTCGTCATGATCGATTGGTGGATGATTAGGTCAGTGCCAGGATAAATTCACGGTACCATTAGACAAGTATTTCCTTATAATTTCCAGTTGTGGTTTTTTCTAAGTGGCTACTGTCTACTGCGTGGAATATGCAAGCACTAGAGGCAAGAGTTATACCAGTAGTAGGATGGTCGGGGAGAACCAGCAGGAGGGAGAGCGTCATGGCGGCTAGCCGCGCGCCAAGCGCTTGGGAGCTCTCAAGGCAGCGGCGGGCCTCGCGTCCACCTCCATCTGTCATCGCCCAGCCGGACACCGGACCCCAGCATTCTACGACCCAAGACTCCGAATTGTATCTATTTGACCTCCTACTTTCTCCCGTGAACTCCATTCCAGTCTTCTTTCTCTCAGAAACCCCTAATCTCGCCTACTGCCCATAATGTCTGGATATGACCGAGCTCTTTCAGGTAAGACAAGCTAGCTACTACCTTGGCTACGGGCCTGGTTGATGAAGGGATTCCCCATTCTAACCTCTTCGCAGTCTTCAGGTATGAATCTCTAGCTTCATGAAGCTCTAGCAAACACATCCTAACCCGCCCTCAGCCCCGACGGGCACGTCTTCCAGGTGGAATACGCCATGGAAGCCGTCAAGCGAGGTACGTCCAGCCCCTCCGACCCGAAGGGAAATCCTCCCATCCATCAATCACATCATAACTCACCTATTCTCTCCCTTTGCATCTATTCAGGAACCTGCGCCGTCGGAGTAAAAGGCAAGGACGTGGTCGTTCTCGGCTGCGAGAAGCGCTCCGCACTGAAGCTCCAAGATACCCGCATCACACCGTCCAAGATCGCTATGGTGGATAACCACGCCGTCCTGGCTTTCGCCGGTCTGAACGCCGACGCCCGCATCCTTATCGACAAAGCCCGTCTAGAAGCTCAGTCCCACCGTCTGACCGTCGAAGACCCCGTCACTATCGAATACATTACGAAGTACATTGCTAGTGTGCAGCAGCGGTACACGCAGAGTGGTGGTGTTAGACCCTTTGGTATCAGTACCCTGGTCGTCGGATTCGACCCCAATGATAAGACGCCCCGGTTATATCAGACTGAGCCTTCGGGGATTTATTCCGCTTGGTGGGTGTTCCTCCTATGCTTTTGTGTTGATGATGTAGGGATGGGTTGAAGCTGACTGATGGCTTCGGGATGTTAGGAAAGCAAATGCTATCGGCCGCTCCAGCAAGACTGTGCGCGAGTTCCTCGAACGCAACCACCAGGATGAGATGGATCGCGAACAGACTATCCAGCTCACTATCAAGTCGCTGTTGGAGGTTGTGCAGACCGGTGCGAAGAACATCGAGGTGGCTATCATGTCGCCTGGGCAGACGATTGAGATGCTCCCGGATGACCAGATCGAGGCGTACGTTAAGAGCATAGAGACGGAGAAGCAGGAGGAGGCGGCTAAGAAGAAGACGGGTCGCGGTGGCACCACGACGGCTGCTATCCTAACACGGCCTGGTGGCGGCGAGGGCAGCGAGAGCCGGGAGTAAGGTGGATGCCATGCCGTTCAAGTAGAGGCTACGTCGAATCAGCAACGATGAGACTCTCGTTGCGGAGGTGTGCTTTCAATCCGGTTAATTGTCTAGGGATCTTGCAAGAAGCGTTACGTCCTTTTTCACGAAAATAAACTCCGTTATACTGTAATGCAGATGTGCTCCGGATCTATAAGAAGCTCTAGGTTCCAGGTGATATACAGGGATTATTTAGGTAAAGTGTAGTAGTAGTGTGTATGCATAATTTCGTAAATCTCGTTCATCGACCCCTCGTTTCAGGGCCTGGCGTCTAACCCAAGCGATCGGAAATATCCTTGAAGTTGAAGATGGAGCGTTCCTGGTGTCCGCGAACACGGTCGTCTTTGAGCATTCTACACGAAGTCAAATATGTCAGTTAATCCCCAACACAGAATAGACGGGTATAGGGGGTCACTCACCTGGCATCAATTCTCGCATCCTCACCCTCGACCTGCAACGTGGGAGTCGGCGTCACAGCGTCAATCACGAAATGGTTATCGCAGTGCGGGCAGTACTCGTCACTAAAATCCAGATAAAACAGGTGTCAAGTCAATTCAACCATTCGTAACCTCCTTCTACCCCTCCCCCTTTATCTTCCTCTCTCTCTCTTTTTATAGATATGGGCCAGCCCCTCCGGTTTATCATCCCAGTAACTAAGGGCAGCAGGTGTGGGGGCGGGTGACGACGACCGGACGCACCTCTCATCAAACTCCGTCGCGTCTTTCCGGAAACATTTCTTGCATTTCTTGCAGGCGAAGACCTAGATTTTTGGAATTCATTTGGTTGGTGATTGAGGGTTCGTGGTAGGTAAAGTAGGTAGTAGAAGTACCATTTCAGTGGTTTTGGTGAGCGAGTGCGATTCTTGTTCTTGGTGGCATTCGGCGCAGTCGAACCATTTTTTGCCTGTCACGGACACACCAGAAATAATTAGATTTGGCTTTGAGAAGAGGGGGTGAGGGCTTACAGCAGGGAGAGCGGATGGCCACTTGAGCGTTCAGGATGTGTTTACTGGATTTTTGAGGATTATTGGTGAGTTGGGGTTCAAGCTGGTGAGTAGAGAGAGGATGGGAGGTGAGGGGTATGGTTCATACCACATTTTCTAAAGTTTATACACGGGGGGTTTTGGGTATAGAAGGAGAGAAGAGTAAATATAGACAAGTTTCTTGAATGTGGTGGGAAGTTGGAGTAAAGTATGCAGTGGTTCAGGTCGGGGGGAGGGCTAAAAATAAAGAACGATTGATGGAATGGATGGATCCATCCATCCATTCATTCATTCCTCTCCCTCCATCAATGCATATCACGCGCGGGTCGATCATCGCCTCGCCTCGCTGGGTTTCTTCTCTCTCTCTCCCCTTTCCTTTCCTTTCCTTTCCTTCCCTACTACTACAACTTACTCCTCAACTTCCTCTTGTCGGTTTGGGTGACTTCATCTCCCGGTGATTCCTCTCTTTTCCCGCCCATCCTCTTCTTGTCTCTTCCTTTTACTCTTCCTCCTACTCTTCCTCCCCACTCTAGTTTGGATCCCTCCCTTCCTCCGTCCTTCCCCCCCCTCCTCTCTCTCCACACATTCACTGCTCAATTCCTCCCATCGCTCCGATTTTCATCTGATATTGTCCGGGCCATCCTCCACGTCCTCCGCAGAGTAGGATCACCAGCTCTAGACCCTTCTTATCCCTGCACGGCGTCTTGTTGTCTCTACTGCTCCTGAATTCCTTCCGCCTAAACTGGAGCTCCGCCACAATCGTCACTCCCGGCTCAACTCCCTGCCACCCGTTATCTTATCCAGTCTGGTCATTAAATTTACTGTGCCATTTCTTAGCCTCTCCCCGGTGGTTGTCTGCATTCATCGCAATTGGCGGAGCCTATGATCCATTCCTTTTCTCGGCCTGTTTGTTGGATTCGCTGTTGTGGCCATGGAGGGAAACGGCAAGCAAAAGGACGCCACGGATAATGCTCCGATTGTACGTTTGCGCCGGTCACTCCCCCCGCTGTTCTGGAGCTTCATACTAATCTACTGGCTTCTGTAGAGACCGGTGTCTTCCCTGCTATCCCATTTCGAGAATCTTTCGCATCGTCGGGCTCCATCCGCTGCTACAAACGGTTCACGCGATCCGCCGTCCTTTTTGAGAACCCCCGAATACGGTGACGATATCCGCTCCAACAGAGCCTCTCTTGATCTACAACGTCCACGGTCTCCCTGGGGCTCAGTGCCTGAGGTGGAGAGGAGTCACAGCATCGTACATGGCAATGGTCTAGCCCCGCACTCTGAATCCCCCGGGATTTCCCCGGGCAGACGGCAGAACAGACCCATGTCGATGAACCTCCACTCGTCGCCGCAGTTGGCACCGACTCTGACGGTCGATTCACCACGGTCTCCGCCGCGCGGGTTTGGAGCAGACCATGAGGAGGAAATCAGCTCGTCTCGCACCCCGCCGATTGCTTCCCGGGAATCGCTACCTACCATACCGCAAGGAATTCCTCCTGCCCATCGACCAACCACCCCCGTCTCTGCGTCTTTTCCTACAGAGAGTAAAGCAGATCGTTTGTCGCCAGGCACATCAGGCTCCCTGGCAAATGGACGCGAGAGCCCATCGGAACGCAACGGCAAGAGCGTTTCCCTTCCCCCGCCTGCTAACCGGGCGGAGAAGCCCAAGATCCCCGCCAAACCGGCGGCATTGTCACACCACGAAGCCAGCTCTCTTGCTCCACAGCTTGAGCGTGCGTCTTCGGAAGATCGCGTATCGCCGTTCAGCACTCCTCCGAGCAGTCCCGAGAAAACCTCCCCGAAACAGCAACCTAACACCAGAGCGGTACCAATTCCGCGCTCGCCCTCCCGGCGTTCGCCAGCCCGTCCAGTACCTGGTCTTCCGACTCATCGGTCACTTGAGGAGAGGTCACCCGCTCCTCAGCCAGGTGTACACCGAGAGTCTTCGCTGAGGCGGCCAATTCCGGAGCCTCCCCGGGAGACGAAGCCGCTTATGGTCCAGATTCCTCCCAGGCATTCTGGAGCGCCGGAGCCGTTGGCAACCGCACCGCTCTCCAACTACAGGCCCCCGATGCAGGATCCGCAGGAGCGCCCCGGACTGCCTCCCCGACAGCCATCTCTGGCACGAAGGGGCGGTCCATCACCGTCGCGGCATTCATACCAGGTGGAAAGCCCGGCGTTCTCATTACCTCCCCCGACACCCTACCGCGAATCTCGGCCCCTTTATCGAGACGAACTACCCACTCCAACGCATGTCTCTCGACAGCCATCCATTTCCAGGGAGACTAGGCCCCTTTATCGAGATGAATTGCCAACCCCGACGCACGTATCGCGGCAGCCGTCCATTTCCAGGGAGACCAGGCCAGTGCCGCCCCCAGCTGTCCCGGAGCGCCCGATGCCAGAGAGGCCTATGTCAGAGCGTCCTATACCAGAACGGCCTGTGGTGGAACGTCAAGCAGTTCGCCCTATTCCCAGTGAGGATGAGCAGGTTCCGGATGAGACGCCAGTTGCTCGCACGGATTATCCAGATGCGTCTAGTGCAAACAGACGCCCACCGCTGCTCAAGTCTGGGCCTCAGGAGATTCACACGCGGTACGATACGCGCCTCATGGATGTGTGCGGGAAGCATGTGTGCACGACCGGCTACATTACGCGGGTCTGGGATCTTACGACTGGAGAGCAGATTATGAGTCTGAGCCATGGTGAGACAGTCAAATGTCTGTCGGTTGCATTTAAGCCAGGTTTGGGTCTGGAGGATGAAGGCCAGCGCTTATGGTTGGGCACAAACTCCGGGGATCTGCACGAGGTCGACATTGCAACCCGGTCCATTGTCGCATCGCGGTCTTACCCTTCTCGACGGGAGATTGTCAAGATCTTGCGGCATAAGAAGGAAATGTGGACCCTCGACGATGAGGGTCGGCTGCTGGTATGGCCGCCAGATGAGACTGGAACGCCGAACCTCCAGTACAGTTACCACAACCCTTACGATCGGGTTGCCCGCGGGCATACGTTCTCGATGGTGGTTGGGGACCTTTTGTGGCTGGCTTCCGGCAAGGAGGTGCATGTCTATCAGCCAAATGCTCGTGATGATGTTTCGTTTAAGGTTCTCAGCAGGCCATTGGGCTTGCAGCATACGGGAGATGTAACTTCAGGTGCTTATACTACCAAGGATGGTGGACGTGTGTATTTGGGTCATGCAGATGGCAAGGTGACCGTATACTCAGCCCACGACTACACCTGTCTGTCTGTCGTCAATGTCAGTGTCTACAAGATCAACTGCCTGGGTATTGTGGGAGATTATCTGTGGGCAGCATACAAGACCGGCATGATCTATGTCTACGATACATCTACGAATCCGTGGACGGTGAAGAAAGATTGGCGTGCTCATGATAGCCCTGTCAGCGGGTTCTTGCTTGATTCTAGCAGCGTGTGGACAATGAACCGATTGCAAGTGACTTCGCTGGGAGACGACAACTGCATCCGTCTTTGGGACGGCATGTTGGAGGATGATTGGTTGGGTAAGTGGCTGCGATTGTCCGACTGATATGAGCTAACACCTTTTAGAAACCAGGATGCAGGCCAGAGACGTGGAGTTTTGCAAGTTCCGTGAGATTCAGGCGGTAATCATGACCTGGAACGCCGGTGCTTCTACCCCTGGAAGCGTGCGCACATCCACTTTTATCCAGGATGCGATCCATCCTGAGAACCCACCAGAGATTTTGGTGTTTGGCTTCCAGGAGCTGGTGGACCTTGAAAATAAGAAGATCACAGCCAGTACGTATACCGCTGACATTATTGGGTGTAGCTAACTCCGTCCAGAGAGTCTGCTCCTCGGGAGTAAGAAGAAGGAGCACGGTGACAAGGAACACATGAGTCGGCAATACAGGGTGTGGATGGAGCACTTGACCCGCTGCATTAATGACTGCATGCCGCTTGAGGAGTCGTATGTGCTACTGCATAGCGCGAATCTGATCGGTCTCTTTACGTGTGTGTTCGTGAAGCACAAGGAGCGCCAGCGGATCAAGAATATCGGTGCCTCGGAGATTAAGCGCGGTATGGGAGGGTTGCATGGAAACAAGGTAGGCTCAAGTTATTCTGGTTGCCGTCAGTTGCTGATTGCCGATTGCTGTAGGGTGCACTTATACTCCGCTTTGTCCTTGATGACAGCTCCCTCTGCTTTATCAACTGCCACTTGGCAGCTGGTCAGACGCAGACGGCACACCGCAACAATGATATCGCGGCGATTCTCGAGGCGGAATCGCTTCCCGCGGAGAATAGTCTCGCAACTCGCGCGAATCACTACGTGAGCGGTGGCGATGGCTCAATGATTATGGATCACGAGATCTGTATTCTGAACGGTGATCTCAACTACCGCATCGACTCTATTCCACGGAACGTGATCATCGACGACATCCGCAGCAACAACCTGACCAAGCTACTGGGACGCGACCAGTTACTCGCCTCGCGACGCAAGAACCCAGGCTTCCGTCTGCGTTCCTTCAACGAGGCACCCATAACATTCGCACCGACATACAAATACGACGTCGGCACCGACGAGTACGACTCCAGCGACAAGAAGCGCGCACCTGCATGGTGTGACCGAGTTCTCTACCGTGGACTAGGCCGCGTCCGTCAACTCGAATACCGTCGACATGAGGTCCGCGCATCCGACCATCGACCAGTGAGCGCTACGTTCAAGCTGCGCGTCAAGACAGTGCTACCGACTGAGCGAGCCGGAACCTGGGAGTCATGTCAGCAGGAGTTCCAGAACGAAAAGCGCCGACTTGCATCAGAAGCGAGGTGAGACATACCATAGATCCGTGAAAGGGTACTGGCTAACGGTAGCAGCATTGAATACCTAATTACTGTCCTCGGAACGGACCCTCAACAGGCGCGGGCCCTGATTCTGGGCAACGGGAATTGATGGCTTGCTGGTAGTAGAGTGTGTTGGCGCTTGGGAGTAGACAGGCCGAGGCCATGTGTATGACTAATGAATCACGATAGACATGTATCATGACGGGGATTAGAATTACCCGGGCATATATTAATGGAGTGTATATAGCAGCTACTACTTTTACTGGGTTCATATAATGTACGCGTTGCACAGTAGGTCGTAATATATATATGGAGGCAGCAGAAGGATAGCCTAATACAGAGCAACACGAACACGATGTCATACAATAACAGCCAGAGACCCTATCCTAAATGATAAAGGATATTCCCTAACCCATAAAACACAAAACAATGCCCATATAATAGATATAGATTGACACCAAAATCACAGTAAATATACCCAGCACAAATGTGGGATATCTCCCCCCTACAACAGCCCCCCTCACATTTCAAAAATCCAAAAATAAGGCACTAACAATGGGCCTATGGCGCAATTGGTAGCGCGTACGACTCCAGATCGTAAGGTTGTCCGATCGAGCCGGGCTGGGCTCATTATCTTTTTTGCCTTTCTCCCCCCCCCCTCTTACCTCCATAACTAACCCCACATAGCTGGCTGGGTAGTTGATGATGGCGGTGGGGTTGAGATGGATGTAGATGCAAGAAGCCTTATTATTTTTTATTTCTATCGACTGGGTGAAGAGTGTTATTGATATCTTGGATGAAGGGTTCGTGTGATGGTTATTCATTGGAATTGGGCTGTGGTGTACTCAACTTACTACATGGTATAGGTCCGTGAGATGGAACGGATACTGATTAACTCTGGCATTGTTGATGGTGTTTATTTGCCTTCTGCTATGGGGTTTGCCATACGTAGTATTGGAATGTTGATTCTTATCTCTAGATCTTGCATGCATACCAGCACTGATTGGAATCCGTGTGGGGTTGTTATCCTCATTCCCCAGATGAGGGACGATTTGTCATTGATGAAGTATGAGATACTCAATCTCTTTCATTCGCAGGACTGACCCTTCATATTAATTTGAGCAATATCACAATGGATAGAGTTACAAGAGCACACTCAACACTGTTCAGTAAGGCATCATCCATTTGATCGAATATACAAATCATATCAAACGAACACACAGTACTTAAGCTCTGATTAAGCCCATTTACAGTATATAAGTATCCCACTGCTAACATGATTTACAAGTCTAGTCATCCATATTAGTCAGTTAGTATTCACGTAAGTCGATGAATAACTCTTAATCTCATAACGTAACTCCCGGCCGCGCCGGCCACCCGCCCGCACCGGCCACCCCTAGTACACCGCCCTAGAATCATTGTATTACTCATTGCTAATTCACTGCCTTTGATAGAAAGAGTGGTTGCATGTAGAAACGTGTTGGGCGGTATACTGGGTGGCCGGTGCGGGCGGGTGGCCGGCGCGGCCGGAAGTTACGTTAGTAAATAATTGTCTCTTCGTGAGAGCCAACACAACATATGCTAATCTGCACATGAGAATTACAATATGTTACGCTATAATGCTCCCTGCCAACATAAATTGAAAAATGACAAAATTCCCCCATCTATGGGCCTATGGCGCAATTGGTAGCGCGTACGACTCCAGATCGTAAGGTTGTCCGATCGAGCCGGGCTGGGCTCATACTCTCTTTTTACCTTTTATTTTTTGATGGTTTGGGGAGTGGAACATAGCGGAATTAGTTTCTTTAATGAACAGCCTTGATGTTCTTGTTGATATCCTATGGGCCTATGGCGCAATTGGTAGCGCGTACGACTCCAGATCGTAAGGTTGTCCGATCGAGCCGGGCTGGGCTCATACCATCTTTTTTTACCTTTTATTTTTTCAATCGCTTGGGGAGTGGAACACAGCGGAATTGGTTTCTTTAATGAACGGTCTCGATATTCTCATTTATGTAGTTATCTTGCATGGCCTTCACTCATTCATTATATGATTTTATGTTGCATGGTTTACGGTTCGAAATTGTAAATCTACTCTAGCCATCATTCCAGATCTAGGTCCTAGCTGTCAATCACCCGTCAGGTACAATACCTTACATTGTGTAGCCACCCGCAAGATACAAAGTAACAGTGCCGAATGCAATTTAGTTCCACGACCAGCACGGACTGCTCCTCAGATATAATTTGTGCCACATGGTTATCTAGTCCTACTTCGACCAGATCGAATAAAATACATGTGCTACCATCACAAGTACTCATGCATCAGCTAAAATCCTGGTGCGCAGTACATCCTGAAACACGTAGCACAAAAATGACCTGTTTGCCACCTGAATGGGCCTATGGCGCAATTGGTAGCGCGTAGTAAGTTATCCTCATCCATTACTGGATTACCAACATCATCTAACATCTTCCGCAGCGACTCCAGATCGTAAGGTTGTCCGATCGAGCCGGGCTGGGCTCATCCATTCTTTTCTGTGTTTTTACTGTTGGATGCTTGTGATTATGGTGCTCATACCGTCTCTACCTCCTTTTGCTTTTTTTGGTACTGTATGTGAATGATTATGGTGAAGATCGGAGTACCGGAGCGTGTCTAGAAAGTGACATGTCTTGCAAATAATTACTGGTAAGAAGTTGCTACGGTCGTCATCTTCACAATCACAGTCTTGTCTAATTTCAGCTGTCTAGACATCTTCTCGTACGTTCCTCAGCCAGAATGTTCTGCTGCACATAATAAACTCTATGACGACCCAAATAGATGCCGGTTAGGGCTGCTATCCGAATTAGGAAGTTGTCTGGAGGACTTGCTACTAGCGTGGTGGCCAAGAGTTCTGATAGACCCGATTCGTCAAATATCAGAATATAGTGGGTAATTCAAACACTAGCTGGTATATTATTGGCTGGTTCAATTTGATACTTGACCAACTCCCCAGGAACCTCCATGTCGCCTTTTTCATTATAAAATTAATTTCGTTTGGATTGGTGCTTAATCTCCAGTTGGAGACCAACTCAGCACTCAGCGGCTTATGAATCAAGCTGATAGTAACTCAATTTAGTGCCTTGTTTAGGAAGTCTGCTTTTTGCGATGCACATATTTATACCCATGCCCAAGCTCGTTCAAGCAGAGCTAGACATGGCTGCTCAGTGTGAATCAACAAAGGACCATGAAAGAACAGTGCGCTGAGGACCAGCGTTCCCAAGATGTCGATCGTCAGGGCCGACAGCGCCCGCGCATCTTCCCTAACCTGGTCGTTGAGATTGGATTCTGCGTGGCTCTGATGCTATCCCAGATCATGTCGGTACGTCCATACCAACCATCCCCCAAACTCCAGCCATCTCACACCATGACAGGAATTCTTCATATCCGGCTTCAACGTCCTCATCCCATCCGTCTCACAAAGCCTGAACATCCCCGCCGCATCCACCGGCTGGCCCTCCAGCGCCTTCGCCCTCACAGCCGGCAGCTCCCTCCTCCTCTTCGGCCAACTAGCCGACAAATACGGCGGCTTCGTGGTCTTCACCTCAGGCCTAACATGGCACCTCGTTTGGACCCTAATCGCCGGGTTCTCCCAAAATGAAATCATGCTCAACTTCTGCCGTGCCCTGCAAGGCTTTGGCCCGGCCGCCATCCTCTCCGCAGGCATCATGCTACTGGGTTCGATCTACCCTCCAGGTCCCCGCAAGAACATTGTCTTCAGCATCTATGGCGGCTGCGCCCCGATAGGCTTCTCCGCAGGTATTCTCGTCTCCGGAATAGCGGACCAACTCCTCAACTGGCGCTGGTACTTCTGGATCGGCGCCATCCTGATCCTAATCACCCTCGTATCGGCCCTCATCTTCATCCCCGCTCCGATCCGCACCCAACGACCCAACCCAACCCTTAGAATCGACTACCTCGGCGCCGCCCTCTTCATCTCCAGCCTTATCCTGATCTTCTTCGCCGTCAACGACTGCGGCCACGCCCCTAATGGCTGGCGCACTCCATACATCCCCGTGACCCTGGTGATCGGCTGCATCCTCCTCGCCGGGGCAATCTACACTGAACACCGCCTCACCTCCTCCTCCACCGACGACAGCAAAACCACAACCACAACACAAGCCCCAACTCCAATCCTCCCCCTCACCCTCTTCCGCGTCCCTCACCTCCCCGCCCTCCTCATCGCCCTCTTCCTCTTCTACGGCACCTTCGGCATCTGGCTCCTCTACACAGTCACCTACATGCAAAACATCCTGCACATCTCCCCCCTTATGGTAGTAGTCTGGTACCTGCCCTTCGCGCTAGGCGGTATCGTCCTCAGCTTCGTCGGCGGGACAATCCTCCACATCGTCCCGGGTACTATCCTCCTGATACTCTCCGGCATAGGCTGGGTCATGGCCCCGCTTCTATTCGCCATCCTTCCCAAGGAAGGGGTGAGTTACTGGGCGTATATCTTCCCCGCGATGATTTGTGGCACTGTGGGCGTTGACATTACGTATAATATCACCAATGTGTTTCTTACTACTACGTTGCCTGAGCAGCAGCAGGGGTTGGCGGCTGCCGTGGCGAATAGTGTGTTGTTCCTGGGTGTGAGTTTCTTTGTTGGTTGGGGGGATTTTGTTGCTGAGATGGTGGATGGTCAGAGGGAGGGATATAAGGCGGCTTTTTGGTTGGGGGTCGCGTGTGCGGGCGTTGCGTTGGCGGTGTTGGTGGGGTGGGTGAAGATTGAGGCTGCGAGGGGGGAGGATGGGAAGGAAGAGGAGGGCGGTGGGTGAGGATGTCAGAAGTGTTGATGGGGTCATTCGTATCATAATTTAGAACTTGAAATCAATTCACGGAACTTACCTTGAAATATTTGGGTCTGTGACAACAGCTAAGATGTGAATGAGCTACATAAGTACACTAAACCCGAAACTACCTTCTCCTGCGTAAACTTCTTCGCTTATCACCGCCGTAAGCCACTCACAAGTCCTACTACATGCTGAAGAGGCAAATTCCTGAAACCCATTCTGATTTTGGGGACGACGTTGAGTTATATCATGGATCAGATGGAAAGGTGTACCGAAGAAAAGTCACTAGAAGATACGCCGGGGACGCTCCAGTTCACAAGGACTCTCGCAAGAACATACCGACTTTTTGGGAACTTATTCCTCTCTGAGCCGCCTCTGAAGTTGCGTGACAAAGTGGATGAGCTTCGACCTTATTTGCTCGAGCTTGAACATCGGGAGAAAAGCACCGGTATGTAGCCAAAAGTGGCTAAGTCCAGTGAGAGTTTCTACTAATCAATCATCGGTTTAGAAATCGATCATAAGGCAATATCCGATGAACTATCTTCCTTCCAGCTCGCAGAGACACAGCTCTGGAAGGACCCACTTCCCACCCGTTGTTTGGAGCATATTGTTCGTCCGTCAGGCTCATGGCAGGCACGTATCGCTCATCACCTACACAATCCTTCCTATACCACCCTTCACGCCAAAAACGGGGAGGTTGCTGATGTTACAAATGGGTGCACGGCACTCATTATGAACCATCACTACGACCCCGAGCTTCACTTCATGTTTGACCACTTCCACCGACGAGAGGACTTCTGCCCATTTGCAAAATATCCAGATCATATCCGAGCTTTCCATGAGAATCACACGGAATGGATTCGAAGCACAGTGCAGGCAAAGATAGAGATAATATACGGTTCTTCGGTAAGAAAATGGGCGATGAAGCATTTGGATTTGACATCACTCAGTCTGTGGGGGGAGTACGAAGGTGTTTGGCTCCACTTCGAGTGGAAGCCGATTGTGGCTGGGAAGAAGATCGCAAGAATCATTATATTCGCGCTACACCCACAGAGATTTCTCTCCTATCAGTCGAGGTCACAAAGAGAAGCAATAGAGCAGGATTTAAGGATTAGTGTTGCCCATCAGTTGGCGTGCCTGCCTTTTACTGCTGATTATTATGCTACGAGGCTTTGGACGAGCAAGGCTGAATTTATTCAGAACGCGTATTTCAATGAGTGGTGTCTAGCTGAGAAAGAAAATTCTCGGTTCGGTATTATCGACCTGCCGAGGCAAAGAAATGTACCAACACCGGATGCTGCATGCCCTATAATCACAGATACCAGCGAGGTCATGAGCTTTAAAAGGTTGGATGAGGTGCTCTTGAAAGTTCTGGACAGTAGGAAGCGCCTCGGCTCGCGAGAGTTCAGACAAGAATATAAGTCCTTGAATATGCAAAACGACTTGCTGGAGTCGTTACCCTGTGCGGTCATGAGAGAATGGTTTGAGGCCCAACAGCATTCATTTTTTGGTGGAATATCCATCAGGACTCGCGATGACCTGCTCTTTGCGTACAAAAAACATTGTGTTGGAGGTGATGGACCACAATCATCTAACCTAAATACCATGGAGTTAATTCAAGGCTTGATGAATTTTCAACAAGCAAGGATACGGAACCGCATCTATCGTGCCTACCGACCAACAGCCAGATCCTCCTGTTACTATTCCACTTTAGAAAGCATGCCTTGTGTATGCGACAACTGTCGCTGCCCGCAGCCTCCCGATCTCCTTCCTCGGTTCTCTATTCAGCATTCTGGGATATATATTTGTCGGGACTGCAAATGCAACTCAGAAGCTTGTTATGAAACAACAAGATATGCCATACCCGCTGATCAGACGCCATATATGGTATTTGATTTCCTGATTGATACCACCGTTGCAGCTCGCAAGCTGATCCGCACCGATGATGAGTGCGAAGGGTATTCCACTACCGTTAAACTCTGGTGCTTATACTGCAGGGAAAGGACTGTGATAGGGAAAACTTCCATTCGAAACTGAGCACTGGACAAAAGTCCCCAATGGACCAAAGGAGCACGTCCTAAATACATTCCAAGATCGTTCACATGTCATAACTGCTCTCGCAACGACCAGCATTTTGTTCCCGTCAATGGAGATATATCCTTCATCCCCTTACGCGATCTCGCTATATTTGCGTTCAATTTCTCGTATATGGACGACCAAACCCTGATCGCGCATCTTGAAGCCCGCCCCTCGAGCACATTCACCACTCGGAGCTATACCAGACGTTCACAGGTAAACCTCGGTAATGCCAACACGCCCGGGAGTCTAGATACCGGCCCTCCCCTAAAGAGGCGCAGGGGCACGAGAAAGGTTGACGCATCACAAGTACAGTTGCCGAATAGGATTGCTGGCGAGCCTTCTGAAGATAATGACGACGACCCGACGGAACCAAACGGCGGCAAGTCTATGATTGAAAATTATAGTAAGCCAGCTATTATCGAGTTAAAATGCAGCAAATGTGGTCAGCGCTGTGGTAGCAACTATCGACCTAGGTGGCATCGAGATACGGGAGATTATATCGCACTTTCGAGGCCCCAGTGCCCTCAAGGTTGCACGAACCAAAAAGTCTGGCTAGTACCGGTTTCTGATGTTGAATATATGACGGCCAATATGCTAGAAGCCCGGGAGAGAAGCGATGAGCGTCATCGACAAACGTACGGTCCTGTTCTTCATCTTGCTAATCCTCTGTCGGAGAGAGCTCTAAGAATGACTAGTTGGAGGGTCAGAAGTCTCGGACAACAAAAGCTACAGAATGAGCTACATCTATATTGAAATTTGCAATCTCACCTTTTCCTCACTACAGACTGCTTGGAGGGAAACGAGAAGTCAACGGGGAGGCACACAACATAGACGAAGTCATGATCATTGAAAGAGGGCATTGCGCCAGTCGAGCTCGCTCTTCTTTGTCCAAGTCGTCATTGGCTATGGTACACAAAACATTCGGAAAGGGGAATCCACGCGGTACGGTCTCTTGCCACACAAAAAGGATAGTCTTCCGCTCTGGAGTCTGCACAACATCCGCTACAGACCTGCTTCTCCGCTCACACTATACCCTTTGGGTAATATGCTTTTAGCTGCGTAGTCTCGCTATTCTAAGTTTTTCTTTCTTTTCTTTTCTTTTCTTTTCTTTCAGTGTTAGAAAGATGAATTTGTTCGATATTCACAGCAGAATTGGTCGCATCATTGAGATGATTATTCTACATCGAAACGGTTATCTCCCGAATGAACTTCTGCATGTATCAGGTTGGAGGCTAAGCATGAACGCAATCGGCAAGGAAAGTCCCTTTGGGCCAATTAATATGAAGACCCAGTATAGAAAGCGTTGCAATTAGGATACTGAGAACAGGCTAACCAGTGCTGCGTGCTCTAGTCTAGATAATATATATTGTATAGCTCCGGACAGTTTGAATAAGAACATTCTCGAAACCTGGGTTTTGGTTTAACTAAATTAGACACATCATTCCCGTGGAGAAAGAAGGATGCTTGCTTCCCATTAATTTCTCAATTTCTGCTCGGATCACCAAGGTATATATAATGATATAACGGCTTCTTCCCTTTGTTACTGAGGATATCTATGTATAAATCCTACTAATCTTGGCCAACTTCGACAAAATCCACCCAGGTTGGATTTCGCATATATATAGTTGCTTCTAGAATGGAGAAATAATTATATAAGTAGGCCGGTAAGGGAAAAGGATCTGAGAAGTTCTCTAGCTCCCTCAAAGCTAAACTCAAACAGTTCTGTGTGATAGTCAATCGAGCTTCCAACCCAGACCCAGCCAATCCATCAAAATGCCTCTTCCAACCGCCTCTACCGCATCTCTCTTCGAGGATGCGTTGCAGTCCAACGAGGCAATTGAAGTCCCCATTGGCGGAGTCGACTTTGTCTCCTTCACGAGTGGACAAACCATAAGAACACTTGGTACGAGGAGGTTGAATGGCAATTCGGCTCTTGTGCTCGTTTCCACCAAAGGTGCCATTTTAGCTAACGTTCCTCTGCCCCCCTGCAGCATGGAAGAACATAATGCTAGTCTAACGCAACTGTGGAAGAAAACGACCGCCTTCCTGAATCTCTTCAACAAAAATGCAGGGCTTTTTTTGGGCCCGGATGAGAAGAGGTATGCAATGGTTTATGGACCCTCTGCGAGACCTAAACCCTTCCCGAAATACAATGCGATCATTGATTCCATTCTTTCGAATTCGTTGGGAGTTATTGAGAAGCCCAAGATTGTCTCATATTCGTATGAGGAGGGCGGCCACAATCAGCCTGATAGTGGTTCTGTCTTTATTGATGGAAGAGGTGAAATTCCTAAGGTGTATGTGGAGGACAAGGATCAGAAATGGTTCGAGTGAGATGGTCACGGTATTTCTGATCATGGAACTGCCTGCGCGTTTTGGTGAGAGATAGATTCGATGAAGCAGAATTATACCTTTTCGTCTTTATACGATCTAGATTGACATCCTACTTAGGCCTCTCGTACACCAATACATTATGCTACCATTTCGTTTTGTGGGTCGTCGTCACCCAATCTCACTGAATATGGATGACCCCAGATCCAGTGGCAGGAGTGGGGACATGACTGAAGATTGTACCTGAATACTACCCTTTTATGCCAAATTCAATCAAAAAGTTAGTCAGCCTATCATTGAACAATCTGATGGGAAAAAGAAGAGAAGATAGCCCAACCCCCCCCTATATATAGAGCTACAATTACAATCGAACTAGATTGAGAAGGGATATAGTGTAGGTAGGTTAGAGATAATGATATTACTCCATAGCTATGTCAAGACAAAAGAATCTACATCAAGCTCAAAAGTTCCACTGGTCCAGCCAGTTTGACATCTGAGCCAGGGACACCGGGCCTAGAGACGCCATGGTCCGACTGGCTGCCCTGGCTCGCTCCAGACTCATTCTAGGACTTGCCTCCATCGCACCAGCCAGCAGGCGGTAGAAGTCTAACAACTTAATAGCTGGTTTCTCGGTCACTTCTTCTGGTGAGAGCTCCTGCAGGCGCCCCAGCTCATCTACCCATTCTGAGAGAGATACTAGCTTCACCGGATACCTCTCTTGAATGGCCGGAATAAGTGACTTCCAAGAAACACCTGTCGGGCTTGTCAGATGGAAGACACTGCTAGTAGTAGGAGTAGTAGCCATGGCGGCAGCCGTGGTGGCTCGGCGACTTTGGAGTATTTCCAACACGATGGTCGCCAGGATGTCCACAGCGACCCAGTCGACTAAAAAGTGACCCAGGTCGCTGGGGATCTGGCCCATTGACTTGGAAGTCTTGATCAGCGTGGGAATCCACTCGTGTGGATTCCACATACCCAGCCGGCTATTTGGACCTGCGATTTGGCCCACGCGCAGGATACTAGTTGGAACGCCACATTTTCTCGACGCCTCGATGCAGATCCGCTCCCCGACATGCTTAGCTTCAGCATAGCCTTGTGGCATCACGACATCTGCAGATTCCATAGGCTCTTCGGGAATTGTATCCCACTCCTCTGACACACCAGAGGGCTTCCACGCCGTGATCGTATTGACGGAGGAGATAAACGCCACGTGCGCATTATACCGGCTTGCCATGCTGAAGTTGATGAGTTCGCGAACACCCTTGATGTGAGGATCTTCGAAAGATGAGACGTGATGGTTCCAGTTTACTTTCCATGCGTTATGGATGATCGTGTCGACTGACTCTAGCAAATGGTTGTATTCCGATTCTGCCAGCCCCAGTTGACGTTCCCCAAACGAAGCCTTCAGAAATTGTACCCGGCTCGAGTCCTCAAGTAATGACGTATCGAGTCCCCTCTCCAAGAAACCGCGACGTTGCCGAGCTGCAGCGTCATCCGATCGGTTCAGACAGTAAATTTTACTGACCTGGGGATTGCGCAGCAAGCCGTACAAAAGGTAGTTGCCCAACGACCCCGTCGACCCAGTAAGAAGGATGGTCGACCGGTCCGAAACAGTAGCATCACCCATCGACACCCTGGACGAGCGCACGGGTAAATCCGCCGTGTAATTGCGTACTAGCTCGGCGATTTCATCGGAGCGTGTCACCGCTGGACTGCTGCTTGTGGTGGTGGTGGTTTTGCTGCTCTTCAGCCGATAACGACTTCGTTCGGCGGCCATCCTACTTAGTTCACGCAGGGGCGTGTTACTCATCAAGTCAAATACAGTGAATGTAGCCCCAATCTCGCGGTTAAACCAGTTGCGTAGATCGACCGACACCATGGAGTCCAGCCCATACATGTGAATGGGCTTACTTGGCTCCACGTCTGCAGCCGCTATTCCCAGCACCTGGCTCAGCTTTCCCGACAGCCACTCGAGCACCAGTTCGGTAGCTTCAACAATAGATGCTGACTGTTTCAGCAGCGCGGGCCGGTCAAGCGCAGTCGTCATTGCTATCGGTGCCATCTCCTTCTCTGCTTCCCCATGCCTTCGGTGCCGCTGCGCGTCCATTTGGAACAGGTGGCGGAACAACGGCCGGTGGACCGAATGGTGCAAATCGAGACATTTGGCCAAAGCAACCGATGGCATCTCAATGCCTACAACGACCTGCGCAGTCGAATGGGTTAGCCGTGGCAGAGTTGGATCGCAGTAATAGTCGAAGAGGGCGACCATCTCCTCGATAGCAATATCCATCAGCATGGCATTGCGCTGCAGCATCAACCGCAGGAAGTCGCTTTCAGCAACCATTCCCTCACTCAGCATCAGACCTAAGTCGATAGATACCGCCTTGAGACCCTGTGCGATCCGGAAATGCGCAAGAGAGTCCTTGAACGCATTTCCAGCTGCATAATTTGACTGACCGGGCGCCCCGAAGAGGCCATTCAGCGAGGATAGCAGCACGAAGAAATCCAGCTCGCGGGGTAGACACCAGTGTAGATTCCACGAGCCGGTAACCTTGGAGCCAATGCTGAGCGACCAGTCCTCATGCGTCATGTTTTCCCACATGTTGTCGCGCAAGGCCACTGTCGCCTGGATACATCCCCGGATCGGCGGCATCGTGCGCTTTAGCTCCAATAGCGCCTGCTCGAGCGACTCTCGCTGACTGATATCGACTGCAGGCGTTGCTACGTGCACACCTTGCCGTTCGAGCTCCTTTACCAATGCTTGCGCTGCCGCTGTACGCGCTCCCGAACGAGACAACAGCACCAGATGCCGCGCCCCGCGACTAGCCATCCACCGCGCCAGGCTGCGTCCCAGCCCACCAAGACCTCCGGCGATCACGTACGAGACATCAGCTGAAAATTGGGATCGGGGGCGAGTGATACTACTAACGGGGATGGAACGGCCGGCGTCAAGCGTCACAACGGTGCCTCCCATCAAATCCACCTGCTGCAATGCTTCCGTCTCGGAACCGGCGGTATAGACATGCGGCTGCGGCGGCTGATCGCCCAGATACTCAGTCATTGCCTCTTGGAAGATGTTGTAAGCGCGCTGTGGACGCTGCTGCAGGAGCTCAGCCATGTTGATGCGGGTGTAAGAGGTATTTGCGCGTTGGGCAAAAGGTTGCAGCGGCGACTTTTGTTGTTGTTGCTGCTTACCCCAGCTGATATCAACCAAGCGGCCACCAGAGGTGAGGTGCTGCGACATACGCTCGTCTGTGGCCGAGCAGACAATGACATCTATGCCACGAATCGCCAGCTTCATTAGGGCTGGCGCGAGCTCTGCGTCCTCGGTAACTACTAAGACCTCTGTCTCGGCCAGCTCAAGGGCGGTACACAGATTAGTCTTCTGGCTCTCGCTGGGCACGGTGGCTAAGACGCGTGCACTGCGGCGCATAGCTAGCTGTATGGCCATGCGTTGGACGCTGTTACCAACCGAATGATGTACAAGCACCGTCTCGTCCGTCGCCAGCCGCGCCACACAATCC